GGATTGGATAGACTGGATAAGAAAGCTGCACCTTAATGTTAAAGCACATGATTTCAAAGGCACCACTTTTGGTGACTGGGGTAGACTTTGCTTTCTGGAGTGGGATGAAGCCAATGGATAAGACTCAATAATAATAGTAGTAACAATAATAATAATAATAATAATAAAACCTTCAACTTTATACAGCACATTTTAAAAACAAACTTAAACCCTGGTACACAAGAAGATTAAATCTAACTAAAATAGAAAGGAAAATGATAAACTAAAGGCAAGGAAAAGGATAAACTAAAGGCAGGTAAAATTAAAAAGAAATAGAAGACCCGCGGCCTGTCTCACGAAGCATGTTCACCTTAGACAGGATTCCTGTCAGTTTCAGCATCACAACACCTGACAGATGAACACGCAGTGAACTCATTTTGTGGTGGTGGGTAACAACTTTCTCTGTTAATCTAGATTTAGATATTGTGAATAATCCTAAAATTTACTTTTTATATAAGTCAATGGAGCCAGACTTTTTTTGCGAAGTAATTTTGGGCCATTTATTTTGGTCCATTCATTATGAAATTTACACACAATGTAAAGGGTAACAGATATTTACTGAAAAAAAAATGGAGTTGCAAGGTTTGGTTCTGACAGCAGCGAAATCCTGCAAAGTTTTGTTGCTCTAGCTCGAAAACTGCAACATGTGCAAAGAAAAATGTAGAACAATAAACCAAAAAACAATTAGTTGACTTTATCAAGTCAACTTAATTAACAAAATAAGAAAATGTAATGTGCTGTCATCCAATTAGCTACTTACTATTGCAGTTTATGCAGTTACTGAACACTCGTTGCTGTTATTTACAGACTCACTGTAATTGGTCTAAATTTGTCGTTTCTATGATACATTGTTGAACGGTCTACTAAGTACTGATGATACCCATTATATGCCCAGAAAAGCGCATTGTGATGTTTTATCACTAAACAATAACATATAACCATAATGCCTGTGCCTGCTTCCTAATGGGCCCTGCAGAAACTGGGGCTCTACATGATACCAAAAAAAGGTTTCCCTTCAAGGACCTAAAAAACTCCAAATTTATTCCACCTTCACACACCTTCTCTAAGGCTTAGGGACATGCACCAGCACCTATGCTGCCATGACAGACACCTCAGCTTCAGCTGGCCTTCCTCACACAGTGCTGCCCTGACACATCTGCCCATGGTTGAGTGGTCAGCTGGGCAGGGTAATCAGGAGCTACCAGCTGAAACGGAGGAGATCATCCAGGCCTGACGCATAGGCCACTGCCACACACACAGCTCAAGGTAAACCAGCAGCCTGGCCCAGTGACAGTCTCAGGAAAAGACACACTTTGATCACACACAAATACACACATCATAGTGTGACATTCGTAGAGGATAATGCAAGCATTTGTGTGCAGAGCCTGCATTTACACAACATCTCTTTTAACCAGACAGGCTTTCAACATGACCTTACCATGGACATCACGTGACGGTTATCTTTGAAATACACTGTTTCATGTCTTCTTTCTGTATGTATAGCAAGATATGTGTCCACACATATCCAGACACACCTTCTAATTACTGAATTCAGGTGTTCAGTGGTGCACACCTTATACAATTTCCAAAGAAAAGCACTGCCAACAGAATGGGACACTCTGGAGCAGCTACGTGAGTCTTGTTTGGTCACAACCTTCAGACTTTTCAGTTTGGTCTGAACCAAAACAGCAGGTGTGAAAGTTGTCTCAGACCACAGTCCTAACCAAAAGACCAAAATTTACATTAGACGTACACTCCTCTATAAACCAATCAATGTCAAGTGTAGGGAGACACAACCCATGTTGGTGATGATGACAAGGGCAATGCAATGTAAAACCAAAACTACCCGGATCAAATTTATACAGTGTAACAAAAACATGAACCTTGGTTCAGACCTTGGTCTGGACTTTAAGTTGTGAAAACACCCTTAAATCACCCTAATCAGCGCCAAGCAACTGGAATTGGGGCACAAAGCCCCTCAGCATTGGGCTGTGGTGCAGTCCACCTGTGTTCTCTGGAGTGATGGAACTCCATCCAATATCTTTGGGATGAGCTGAAGTGGTGTTTGAACTGAACATCAGTACCTGACTTCTCTAATGCTCTTGTGGCAGAATGCAATCAAATCCTCCCAACAATGTTCCAAGACCAAGTATAAAGCCTTCCTAGAAGAGTATTTGCTATTACTGCATGAAATGTGTGCCAAATCCCTATTAACAGCTTTGATTTCAGAAGAAAGGTTGAATGAGCAGGTGTCTACAAACTTTTGGACATATACTGTAATGCAGAAACTGTAGAGAGGTGTAATTAATGCAAGAGTGAATCAATTCAAAGTGTCTTATTTTCAAGCATGCTACAGTCTAACAAATATAGGAGCCAAGAAGAGTTCTTTGGAGTGATGCCATGGAAGAATCACTTTTGTTTCCCTTAAGAACCATTCAGTTGAGTGGTATGAATTATAATTTTTAAAGAAAGTCCAGGGAACCAAAAGTATCTCTATGGTATTGCTCCAAAGAAACCCTTTTCGGCACCCCCAACTTAACCCTTGTAAATGATTAAAAATTACCATGCAAAGAACAGAAGCCTTGTTTTATCAACAATTAAACTACAGTAAATAAACAGCAAAGGTTGCAGTGAAGGCAAAAGCATATGCATTGATTATAGCCAGAAGTGTCTCAAACTTTCATGTTTAGGCCCCAGGCTTCAATTCATTTGCCATAGAAGAATCTGACACAATATTAAAATGTGCCAAAATATTAATAGCCCTACTCTTTGTTTTGTTATCTAATTCCAACCATGCTACTGTCTCAAACATGTAGCAAGCCTTGAATATGAATATATGCAACATGACTGTAAATAGATATGCTGTATGCAACAGACCCAAAACCGTACCATTTGTTGTTTCTCGGCTGTTGAAGCAAAACTCTATAATGAACAGTTTTTGTTTACTATAGGACAGATACATTATTCAAATCCCACTGAAATCTCCACAAACATTCTGGTTTTAATTTGTACCCAGGCCAACAGACAGAAGGGAAGCTAGAGAGTGTGGTTAGCATACAGAGCGGACACTGGACCACTTTCTGCTTCATCTTCACTTTCAAGTTAAACTTTCACATTTCAGTGTTCGATATGACATTTATCACATCATCACAACACAAAAAACAAAGCATGTTGTACTGATGCTTTATGAAGGAAGGAAACCTCAAAAATGCAAAAGCACTGCAGTAGAACGTGGGGTTTTGTTTACAGCTCTGTCGATCATTTCCATTTGACAACTGCAGTTACTAGAGCATAAATTTCCTTTCAACACCTCCAGTACTCCAGTACAGTCTGGATAACCCATTTCATCTGAAAAACTGCTGTTTTTCTATTTTTCATGGCGTTTTTAGAATGACCCCTGTCTCTTCAGGGCCCATGAAATTGTTCTGTCGCCACCTCTGGTGCTCCTGTCCAGCCTGAACTGGACAGAACAGAAGAAGCAGAAAAACAAATAGCACAGCACACAAGCACACTTCCCTGCCTGACCATTCAGACACATCCATCACATAAACTGAATGTGCACATGGCCGTATTGGGGTCATCCATTCTGTCCCCTTATTTTGCCAGTCATTACAATTTGGGTGCAATCAAGTATGACTAAAAACCTTTGTGAAACATGTGAGCACCTACTAGATACCTTTTATGGAAGAAGGCTGCAAAAGGTGGTCTACAGGAGGTTTACGAGCTGTGAATGGGTGGGGCCTCAAAATAATTTATTATTTTTCAGCACGATCAAAAATTAGTAAACAACAGCAGCCAATCAGCTCGTGGAGAAATATCTGAGTAATATGAGCGACTGTCTGCAACGGTCTTTGATTCGCCAGCGTGGAAAACATTTCATTTTCGAGCAAAATTATATTTAAGCTTGAGCTTTGGCCATCACACACAAACGCGCGCGCGCGCACACACACACACACACACGCGCGCGCGCGCGCGCGCACCCCTCCTCTTTCCCACACTTGCTGTGTGTCGATTTCCTGACAAGCGTGTTGAATTGATCGGTCTGTTTCTCTTCGTCCGTGCTAAGTACGGGAGAAAAAACCCGGACTGCTCTGCAGCTCACCAGCCTGCAAACACGTCGAAACGGAGCTTCTGCCTGAGATCTGCTCAGCGAAGCTGGGGAAAGTTTTTGGGAGGTTAAATATGATTCCTAGAGACGATTCGTGCATTTGCTTCGATTAAATTGAAGCCTGTTCCTTTGAAAGCCATTCGGCTGGCAAAGCGTGTGATCTGTACGTTTTCAGGTGAGGCGCATTAATGGCAGTCTCACCTTGACATGCAGCGCAGCTCCACTCATTCACGCACATTAACTCTCCACTAACTCACATATATACAGCTTATTATCTGACAGCAATCAATAGCTGTAGAGCTCATATAACTGTATACACTGCTCTACAGCAATGCAACCCATTCATCCCAGTTTAATGACTGTTTCCAATAATGCACAAATCTAGAAACCCATGCAGAAGTATTTCATCCTGCCAGACAGCACGAGGCTCCAACCAAAGGACGAGTCAGAAACTGCAGTGCGGCACCCACCGTGAATATCTTAATAGTAATATTTCGTTATGTGATTGAATATTTCATCCACGACTGTGCTGCACGCGCTCAGCTCAGTCCACACTGCGGCCGCTAGAGCCGCTATTCCAGGGCAGAAATGGACAAACCTTAACGCTGGAAGAAGTTACAACCCATTCCAACAACTCTCCGAGCTCGTTCACCAGTAACAGCAGTTATACATCTGCTTAAAGAAGAATATCCACTCACAGCCGCTAAAACGGCCACGTACGGGTGAACTAATAGCCCTAACAGTGTCCACGCACTCCTCACTCAGACCCTCATTCAGTTCCAGCGAGCTGAAAGCCAAAAGCAACTTGTGCGGATTGCATAAGAGCGAGTTATTAAAGTTGGATGCGACTTACCCCGTTTAAACATGTTGGAAAGTGTTGATTCCTATGACGCCCCGCTGGGGTTCATCTATTCTCGTACTCCAGTCCCAACGCGCTTTTCTTCACTGTGGCTACGAAGCAGATGTTTTTAAGACACGAGTCAACGGCTCTCAGCTCAGCATGTTCGTGGCGGACACCGAGAAGTCCGGCAGCTCTGTGGGAGTTCAGGCAGAATCTTAATGGAGTGGATCTACAGGGGTGTGTAGTCTGCTCTCATCCATGCGAGGTCCCTCCTGAACACTGAGCGCAGTCCGGTCACAAGACACATTTCTGCAGTCCACAGTCGCTCCTCTTCCCGTCCGAGGTGCGGTGAAACAACACGCATACACACACTCCGCTGCCTCCTCTCCACAGACTTACCTCCGTTAAAGCATCGCTGTTTCAGCTCTGCAGCTGGGGGACGAGGGGAGACGGGTGGTAGGAATCGGAGATCAGACCGAGGTCCATTGCTTTACGCGCACTGGCTCAATAGTTGGAGAGCAGCAAAAGTGGAGGGAGGGGGCGTTGCTTTTCCCACCCGTTTTCAGGCAATCCCCGCCTCTTTTTCTATGATTGGTTAATAGTTCACACACAAGCTGTCCTCCTGGACTAAGACTGGATAGTAGTTCATAATATTGCGCTAGGACCGATTGGTAGATCGTATTCTCCTCTAGGATTGGTTAGTTTTTCATATGATAGGATTGGCTAATAGTTCATGATACTCCATTAGGGTTGGTTAATAGTTCATGATCTACTATAGGATTGTTTCATAGTTCATTGTATGTTCCAGGTTTGGATAGTAGTTGATATTCTGTTCTAGGATTGTTTAGTAGTTCGTATTCTGCTTTAGGATTGTTTAGTAGTTCATATTCTCCTCTAGGATTGTTTGGTAGTTTATACTCTCCTCTAGGATTGTTTGGTAGTTCATATTCTCCTCTAGGATTGTTTAGTAGTTCATATTCTGCTCTAGGATTGTTTGGTAGTTCATAAAATTGTGCTAGAAGTTTATAATCCTGTTCTATGATTAAATTTATACTCAACAGACTGTTTCTTAGTATGAACAACTAGTCCAGAGGTCTCAAGCCCTGGTCCTGGAGACCTACCTTTCTGTAGAGTCTAGTCCAGTGGTCTCCAACTATGGTTGTGGAGATCTACCTTTCTGTAGAGTCTGGTCCAGTGGTCTCCAACCCTGGTCCTGTAGATCTACTTTCCTGCTGTCTAGTTCCAACCACAATCTGCTACATCAGCTCCTGCTAATAACTTCTTCAGAGGCTCTTGACTGGCTGGATCAGATACTTTTGTTTTAGGTATGGGTTGGAAACAACATGTTAAATGCAGGTTAGAACTAAACTCTGCTTTCAGCAAATCTTGAGGCATGACTTGCACTGAAGAGCTGGTTTATTTATTTATCTACTTATTTGAAAATTATGACAAAACAGATCTGTAGATCTGTTGTAGTTGTAGCTGAAAACCACAAGACCCCGTCCTGGATCTCATTGGAACATTTTAACTCATCATCCCCAAACGTGCTGCCTGTTGCATTAGTTTGACTCTGCTTTTGTATTTGGCTTTTATTATGTCATTTTTAGCTATTTTCCAAATGTGTCTCATTAGATGTTTGACTTTTAGCTGACTTTGTTTATGGATTGGTTTTCTTTGCTTAGTTAATTAGAAGGTGAATGAAAATTTTATTGAAAATTACCTGATATATAATATTACTAACTTGGCTAATTCTGGGAACAAACAACTGATCATGCTGCTGAATCTTATTTGTGAGCTGAGCTAAAAATAGCAGGAATGCCCATCTCTAGTTTGAATATGTCTGAGATAAAAAAAAAATAATAAAAAATCAATGCAATGATTATTGATGCTGAAGGCCTACTGTATGAGCTGGTGTGCACTAGATAAACATGCAGGGAAATTCAGCCCATGGTAGGGGTGTAACGATACACAAAATTAAACAATGAATTCAATACAATACAATGGTGTCTCAATGCGACACTCTAAAGCAAAAAAATGAAGAATGGCAGAACATTTGCAGGTTTAATGAGATTTTCAAGTCAAGATTCAAACAACTTTTGATATCTTCTGTGTTAAAAAGTTCAAAAACACCTCTAACAAAAACAAAACAACACAACAGAATTTATAATTGATTAAAATATATGTATGTCCTTTAGAGGAACCTGGAGAAAATGTCTAATAAAATTATGAAGATAAAATAAAATAAATAAATGAAATAAGAAAAAAAGCTATGACATTATTGTGACATTATTGTGTTTCCTAGAATGTTTGAGATGTTTGGATAAATTCATTAGCATTAATGTTTTTATTGTGATTTCTGAATGTTCCTGCAGTTTATGTACAGTTTTCCTCTAACATTTTTGGAATGTTTTTTTAAGGGAATCCTCCTTCTGAGTTTGCATGAAAAACTTTTCCATCACACTCTTCCCAGGAGGTTCATAATGTTCCCAGAATGTTGAAGTCTTTAATATTGCACTAATATTCCCTGTGAGATTGCATGAAAAGTTTTGCTGATGTTCTCTGGGCCTTCCCTTGGGCTTCATAAAAACAGTTATCAGAAAAGCTTGTAGCTGGAGCATATTATTATGCATTATTATGCATAATTTCATTTTCTCTTTTCAGTTGAGTTTCATGTGTGGATTATTCATACAGCCAACTTGGAGACACATCAAAAATGTTCTTTTAGATTTGATCTCTGTTTCCAGAAACTTTAGGCATTCTGGCTCAGTCAGTGTGTTGCTGCTACAGCAGTTTGAGATTACAGACACATCCAAACATTTCTTTTAGCTTTAAACTGAGCTGTTAATTCAGAGATTTTCATCCATATAGTTGTGCTACTGATCAACAGGGCAGGTTTCATGCCTGGTGTTCATTTGAAAAACGGTTTGCTTTTTCACTTGTTTGCCGTTGGTACACTGACTGCAATAAGAACGACTAGTGCTTTTCTTTTTTTAATAAAAAGGCCTTGTTATCTGCTTTCAAAACCTTCTGTCAGATGTATTGGAAAAAAATAACCTTTGTACAATTGTCTGTTATTGACACAAGAAAATAACATTCTGTAAGAACTTTCTGGGAACATTTCATAATTCATAAACCTGAATGGAACATGAGGAGTACATCAAGAAAAACACAAAATAATATTTGATTTATTTGAACTTTAAATGCTCTGTAAATTTTTTACTTTTGTGAAACTTGACAATGAAACATGGATAAATATTTATCAAGTGTGCTAACCATGTATGAAGACATTGCAGCTGGAGCTGAATGTACAAAATACTTGTAGAATATTTTGCATATTAGCCTTGCCAGTAAAGTGATTATGCACTAGAGAGTGAACTGTTGAGTAGACACCAATTAAGCTAATCATAAACTCAATAACCACTTGATTTTACCCTTAAATCTACCTCCTTAGCTCTTCATGGCAATCTAAGGGTGGTTTTCTCCAAGGACACCCAGGGATGGGCTGAGATTTGTCACTGTACTGGTAGAGTCGCTCATTCACACAGTTTTAGGTCTGAAAGTGATACTAAAGCTCTTTTACAGTCAGACTGCTTCACACTGAGGAAAAGTGCAATTTGCAAATATAATAATCATATCTAGGCTGCCTGTGGTAAATAATGAAGAAATGAATGCCTGTGACTAATAATATTGCAAAGTTAACATAGTATGCTTGACTGTTTTATAGGTATTAAAAAAGTTTAAAATGTTCTTAGTTTTAGTTACCTCTCAAAGTGGTTTCCTTCCTTTCATTCAAATTTTATTTACATTTTTATAGTTTTCAAGGTTAGTTTCAGGTCTATGTGGTTATTTTAAGTACCTACTTTTATAAGGATAGCTTTAATTATAGCTACTTCAAAGGGCCCATATCACATAAAACTCCTTGCTTTTTCAAATAAACGGGTTTTGTGTATTAGGCAAACATTGTTAAAAGGTACATATAAAATGTCTTACCACTGTACTGCATGCTGCACCAGTGCTCTATACTGCATGCTACTCTTCACAGTTGTATGCAATACAGTGTCCAGTATACGACAAAAGCCATGTGCTGTACTACAGAAAAGGGGTGCAACTAGACCGTCAGCAACTGGGACTGAACCAATCAGAAGCATCTCAAGACCGGCCCCATTTTCCTCAGCTCTCTAATCACTGCTTTGCAACTGTTGTTATAGCTGCTTTTCTGCTCTTTTCCAGGCCAAGTCTTAAGCAATCTGCTGAGTTTTGAAAGATACCATCACAGAAAGGAGGATTTTGTTTCTACCCATCTCCAAAGCCCAATATAAACCATCAACTTTGGATTTGTCTACGTGGTAAACCTGTGGTTTCCAGACACAACTGTTTTTCTCTGTTTGCAAGTCATTTCATTTTCATTACATTTGTAGTTGGTAGTACAAGCTAATCTGCCTGAATAATAAGCAGTGCCACTCCACACGTGAGCCTGAAAAGCTGATGCTGAGTGGATTGTTTGGCCGATACCAACTTTACTAAGTTGCTGTTTTAAGCAAGTTACATTTATTAGATAGACAAAGTAACAAAATCCAATTCAAGACCAGAATAGAAAGCTGTAGCAGGACCAATTATTTCCTTTCATTTCACGCATGTATCCACCATGGACTAAAACTTGGGCTATTTAACTGTTCTGAACAAATGAGGCAGTTATTTGTTATGTCCTCCTGAAATGGCCGTGTCGCATTTTGGGATGCAGTAGATAATGAAGATAGCTTTGGCTGAGTGCTGGAATATTTTGTCAGAGCAGTACATACTACTTACTGCTTTTGGGGAAAATAAGTAGACGGGCAGTCTATAGTAGGCCATTTCAAACACGGCCACAGACACGTACATACCATTCACTCCCCATAAGGAGTATACAGGGCAGCTTATCAGAACAGAGGTCATTTACATATATCTGTCTTTAAGGCATGACCTGATTAATTCTGAGGGATAAAGAGATGTTGGAAAAAAGTCATATAATATATATGAAAATATGATGTATTTTTGAAACTTAAACTCATACGTATGTTACAAGTGGACATCAGACAAAAAAAATAAATAAATGAAAGAAAATCATAGGATATGGGCCCTGTAATTATAGATAACTAAGGTTGAGGTAACTTCAAAGTCCTAGAGATATTATTATTTGTGAGACTTTATCCTGTTTATCTATGGAACACATAAAACTATGGAAAAACTAAAAATAAATATGCTGCTGCATCAGTTCTGAGGTGATCAGTCTTTCTTGTTTAAGCCATTAAAACACTTCTTACACACTTCTTAACTCACAGCAGCAGTGCAGTCTGAATTTGCACCACTTGTCTCAGCTGCTAACATGCTAATATAGAAAAGCCTTGTAACCAGGCTTCATGCTGTGGCATGCTGTAGGCCTAGCAGCCCAAATGACTCATTTTTATCACTTGCCTCTCCATTCACAGCCAGACTCTCACCATGCAAGCAGCAGCGGCACAGAAGGAGGTAAAGAGTCACTGGCGACATTAAAGACTCTTATTCATAAATTGACTAAAATGGAGTCTGTGAATGATAAAACTACAAGTCAATTAAAATGACATCTTAACAACAGCATATAATGGACCCGTTTTGCAAGGTTTTCTCAATCCTGGTCCTTAAGTGCACGTTTCAGTAATTTCCCTGCTCCCCATACACCTAATTTCATTTAGAAGCTGAATTAATTTAGTGAAAAAGGACAAAAGAGCCCAGAGTCCAGACCCCTAGCTGGTGTACAAAGGCCTTGGGCTATTGTATTATAGCAGGCAAGAAAAGAGACAGAACAATGATTCACTGGTATGTATGGTTTTATATGAATAGGCAGCAGTATATTTTTATATGAATTTAATTTCAGTTTTAAACCAGTCTTAATTTCAGTCTGTTTTTGCGAAGCAACCTGACAACTAAGTATACTCTGAAGTGCATTAAATAGTGTGTGTACGCTGTTTTCACAGCCACGGTATCAGTGGAGTCGATCTAATGGATCCTCGTTGAAGCTCTCTGTGCTCTACTCGTAATGCCTTTCTGAACCCACGTGGAGTTGTTTGCGGAAAAATGGCGGCGCCCACCGGAGATGTAGAAGTCGTGACTAAAAAGCCAGCAGGTAAACACTCGTGTTATTTTATTTCAAGGCTTTTTAGTTTCAAAAGCGCAAGGATTTCATGCTCTGCGACTCTTTCGTTGTTACTGCTCCTGCTTTAGGCGTGTGATATCCCAGAAGCAGCATGTTTACTACGTGCTAGCGTTAGCTAGCGGCATAGACACGTACAGGAGAAATGAAATAGCACTGCCAGTTAACTGAGACAAACAGAGAAAATTAGATATTGCTTAACAGTAACGAGGTCGAGTAAATATTTTATTCGAGAAGTGAAAGTAGCTGGTTTGTGGCTACTTTCTCGCCACTGCAGGTACCTTCTTAAAAGCAATAAAATGACTCTTGATGTAACATTGCAGCTTTAAAATCCAAGTGTAGCTGAAGAGTTCAAATACACTTTCTTGCTGTCTTTGAACTCCACCACGTTTGATTTGAAAGAACCAGAACTATTAGAGTTGTATGTTGTAATCTCCCCCTTAATAACTATTGAACTATCGGTTCATTTTGTTGAAGTTGTTACATAGCGCCTATGGGGCTTTGGTTAAAGAAGTAACGGCACTGCGTTCCCTCGCACACGTTTTGCAAGCGACTCTGCAGGAGACCCCACACGCATATCCCACAGGTCAGTGCATCGTTCTTTAGCTTCCATGGGATATTGGAGCAAAGGCCCACCAGAGTGCCTCTGTTAATACCACGACACCAGACACAGCGCCTCACCTGGGCTCATGAGGTTGCTAACTGGACCCTAGAGGTGGTGTGTTGTGATGAATCACAGTACCAATTGTTTCGGGCTGATGGTAGGGTTTGTGGGTGGCACAGATCCCATGAAGCCGTGGACTCCAGTTGTCAACAAGGCACTGTACAGGCTGGTGGTGGTTCCATACTGGTGTGGGGTGTGTTCTAATGGCCTGGGTTGGGTTCACTGGTCCGCCTAAACACGACATTAATTGCTGGATGCTATGTTTCACTGCTTGGTGACCATTTGCAGCTCTTTGTGAACTTCATGTACCCCCACAATGATGGGAAATTCCAGCAGGATAATGCACCCAAGTTGTCCAGAATTGGTTTGAGGAGCATTCTGGAGAGTTCTGAAGAATGGCGTGTGGCCTGCACTTTCGCCTGACATGAGCCTAATCAAACATTTACGGGATGTAAAGGTCCATTCGCACCCGAGATCCTGCACCTACAAATACCACAGAGCTGTGGGTGGCTGTCCAGACGACATGGCTCAACATCCCTCCAGAGGTCTTCCATCCAGTTGTGAAAGGGATGCCACGTTGAGTTGCACTTCGCCGGGCCAGAGGGGGTCCTACATGATACTAGTTCCTGTCCAATGACTTTTGGCACATTAGTGTGTATATGTATGTTTTTTTTTTTTGTTTTTCACAGTGGCACTTTAGAGGCTCTGAAAGGTCTTTAGGTTACTTTCTAAAATATGTAACAAGCTGATATTTGTTTCAGAGAAAAATACTTATAGCACAACATTAAACTGATGTAGAAATCCTGAATGTTCTGGAGAAAAACTCCAAACAGACAACACTGAGGCTACTGTAAAGCACAGAAGTGGAAATCTCAATGTCTGGGGCTGTTTTTTTTTACAGTGATGTTCGTCAATTTATGTTTATTGATTGCGTTTTGGATGCAAACCTGTAGAAGTGTGCGGAGAAACTGTTCAAATGATAAGGATCCAAAAGTCACCAGCTACCTTTTGAAAGAACACTTTACCATCATGAAAATTACAGTCTTGGAATGATCTGTTTAAATATAAATGCATAAATTTGGTTTGGCATTTTGTTTCCTAACACAGTGAACTTAATGCATGTTTAAGTATGGCACAAGCGTATAAATCCTTTTCAGGACTACTGTAGCATTTTCACCCATGCTAAGGAACCATTTATATATGACGGCATGATTTGTGAATCCTCACCCCTTTTAAGGGCACCAGAAATGTTAGACAAACTCAAAGCTAAGCTGTGTCCAAATGCTTGTAGACACCGGCTCATCCAGTGTTTCCTCTGAAATCAAAAGTGCTGAAAGAGAGTCTGTCCTCCTTTGCTGCAGTAACAGCCTCTACTTTTCTGGAAAGAAGGCTTTATACTAGGTGTTGGAGCGTTGCTGTGAGGATTTGATTGCATTCAGCAAAAAAGGGCTTTAGTGAGGTCAGACTGATGAAACCTGCAAAGCCAAGCATTCAAATACTTTAGTCTGAGATACTTTAATAGGTCAGTTAATTTGGGTGAAAGTACATTTCAGTATAAAAGTAAGTTTTCAGTTTTAACACAGTAGTCACTGTTAGAATGATGTGCTGGAGTACAGAGTCAAAAGAAATGTCATTGTTTAAACATCTTTGGAGGTTGTCATAACTGCACTTTTTAGTTTGTGTAGAGTGCTCGATTGAGGCCTTGTTTTAGAGGTCCATACCTTGTCCATGAGGGACTTTCAAAACAAGTTGTGTTTATGTGCAAAATGTGCTACAACTTCTGAATTCCCACAATATAGGTGCATAATAGCCAGACCTACGATGAACATAAGAACTTTAGCACTCATAGACCAAAACAATGAAAGTGCACTTTATAGTTATATAGTTTATTAGGGGTGTTTGCTTTTGTACTGATTGGCTGTATACTGTAACTGTAGCCTGAATTGTGTCTCTTTTGTGGTTTAGTGCGAGGTCCGAGGAGGGTTGCCAATCAGATTCCTGATGAGATTCTCAAAGACCCAGAGCTTCAAGAGGCTATTCGTGTCCTGCCTGCCAACTACAACTTTGAGATACACAAAACGGTGTGGCGGGTGAAACAGGCAAAAGCCAAAAGAGGTGAGTCTGGTGCTAGCTATGGTTATTATAAATAGTGCTAGCTATTGTTATTACAAATAGCAATTAAGACCATCACTTTGAAAGGAATATTCTTCAGAAATATATATTTCAGTCATCTCTTCTTGCTATTCTCATGAACATTTACAATTATATAATATTTTCAATAGTAAAAATATGTTAATGATCCAAATTTTGTATTTCATGCTTGTTCAGACACCATTATTTACACACAAACATGACAACAACAACAGCAGCATTGAGCTCCTGTTGAATGGCAACAGCCACAGAAAACTCAAATTTCACATGTACACACTATCTGTTGGCAAGTAGTGTTGGATCTATAATGATGTTAAATGTGGTGGTGCTGGTGGATCTATAAGGGAATGGGCAGTCGGCTCATGGGAGTCATTAAGTCCACTGATTGCTCTGCATGTTTCGATAATGGCCAGAGAATATGAGGCTGTTTATAGATTAAGGTTCTCGTGATTGTGTGAACACAACTAAACGGTTTCATGAACACCGATAAAGTCAAATGCCTTCTGTGGTCTTTTCAGTAACCAGATCTAAACATCACCCTTATCAGACGTTCTGAAGTGTGAAATCATTTCAACTGGAGGCTGTTTTCTTGAAAAGACAGTCAAATATCCCATTACACAAAGTCGAGCTAGGCACCCTACTCAAAGTTATTCTTAAGTTGTGGAAGTGAGGCATGTAAACCCTAAAAGGACACTTCGGCCAAAATTCAGAATATAACCGTCACTACTGCCGTCGTAAATGTACTTATTTGCATCCTACAGCCGTGTTGTAGTAGTCTCTAAAATGCGATTTTCTGGTTTAAAGACAGAAAAAACCCGTATAATGATGCTTCTTGAAGGTAGGACTAATTTTTGAAAAACTGCAACTGCTTTTGGGTGGATTTTTGGAGACAGGATGTTTTTTTTCCGTAGATGGTGAATACAGAAGAAAGACAGTCATAATTTTAGTAACTGTCTTTAAATCTTCTTTCAGCCTTTCAGGGCTTTTCTAGTCCTTGAGGAAATCCTAGATACGTCACTGACTGAATACGAGCGTCAACCTAATCAAGGAGTCCTCTCTACTCTGTACTGAGTTACTGTGAAACTTCTACGAGATAAAATATATGCTAATATTTGTGTCACAGGCTTCAAGTAAAACATGGAATATCTTGTAGAAGCTTTGCTTATCTGTGTTTTGTCTAAAACTGTCTTGAATTGAATTTTCCATCCCACCTTAAATGGTGTAGCAGTTACAGTCTGGTGCATAAGTGTCCCAGAATCTAACTGCTGCACCTTTTAAGGTGAATTGGAAAATTCCAGTAAGAGCTTCAGCATCGCCGAAAGGTGTTCATACAAAACACTGTTAGCTTAGTGCTAACAAACTACTAGAATTCTATAGGCACAGTAGCAGAAGTTAGCATTATTGTTGAGGTGGGTCTTTTCTGCATATTTTGACTGGGTTTTGACATTTATGGCCCAAATTGAAGGACAAGCTCTATTAGTCATGATTTGCCACTGGATGTAAGTATCAGTTTGCTTTCTTTCCTCTGGCTGAAAGGGGAAAAGCTTGTCTCTGGTGTCCATTGTGTGCTGAATAAAGATCGGATCACTACTTCTTTACAGCTTTGTTAGATGACTGAAATATTTGGTTTGGTTGGTTGTATTTATTAGCCTTTAGATCAGTGTCTAGCCTAGTAGTCAGGATTGGTTGACAACACAGGTTCTGAATGTCGTATGATGCATTTACGTCACGCACGCTGGGTACTACAGTGAGAGAACATTGATGAATGAAAATGATGGCTGAGGGATGTAATGCTGCGCTCCAGAATATTACATAACAGGGACATTAAACTCCAGTTTTAGGTCAAAATGTCATAGGTATGTTTAATATTTTGATAGGTTATATATGATCAATATTGAATCATCAAATTTGGTTCAGTTAGACTGCTAATCACAAAACTGACTCATGGTGTGAACTTAAGGACCTGTGTATTATTAAAGCAATGCATGTTTGTTGTGAAATGCACTGTATGCTATAGTTACAGAAAAACAGAAGAGCAGTAAGAAAAAATGTGAAATCTAATTCTTTCAGCTTCGTTAACCATTGTTGTGCTTATTGAGCATGATGTTTAAATGAAAAACTTTAAATATGTCTTAGGGGAAGTGAGAAGGTGTTTCAGGTGTGACTCTCATCTCTTCATTATTCCATCTCATGTCTATAAAAGTATGACTGCCATGCTCCCCCACTGTCAGCTTTGCATCACTCCTTCTGATGCACACGAGGAGGCCCAGAGCCCAGCATGAACTCCCATCATTCTTAGGCAGGTGTTAGTGAGTAGCATGTGGCAGCCATTGCACATTCTCACACATTCTGATGATGCTAATAAAGAGAACAGTGAATAGAGGTGAATTAAGAATGTCTAAAAATGTGCCAAGCTTTAAATCCATTGAAAAAAGTAAAGTTCAGACCTGCATGGAGTCCGCCCCGAGTTTGTGCCAATCTTGATAACACAGTGCAGAAATGACAAATTTCAAGCCTCCATTGATGTGAATAACAGCAAATAGGTGTTTGATGTGGTGAATGTGTTCACAGGTGGTTCGTGGAGAGTGCCTGCTTCTTTCTGACTTCTCTACAGGGTATATATGCTGGTCTTTTGTTGTGTTAAGTCTCCTCTCTCTCAGGATACACAAGGCAAAAAGCACCTTATTGACTCTGTGCCACTTTTCTTTCTCTCTCTTGCTTCTTTTTTGCCCCCACCCAATTTGCTACTCCAGTTTTTGTGAGTTTGTCTGTCTTGTTTTGTGCTGCTCTGAGACTTGGGGAAAAAAATGAAAGCTTTGAGGCCGAAGTACCTGACAGATGCAGTGACTAATACACACCAGTTAAGAACTAAAAGAATGTTTATTATTAATCACACAGGCCAGTGTGTGGTCGAGTTGGATCATAAGAGACGGAATCATGCATAACTATGTGAATAACGCTACTCAGACTGAAAACTGCCACTTACCGCAGTTGAAATTTGACACGTGTAGCCCAGTATAAAGTCTGTCCAGTGGTTACATTTGACCAAGTGATTAATGTGCTAATCATGAATATTTACCACACAGCAATTTTTTTTTCTTAAAATTTTTTTGTTCTTTATTTGGCACAAATAAAGTGAAATTTTAACCACAGAAGTTAAAACACAAAGCATGTAAAGAGCAAGACAAAAGAATAAAAATAAAACAGAAAATAGGAACAAGACAGAATTTAAGTCCTACTGTTTTTTTAAGCCGGTCAGGAGTGTTCAGAGGCAGAATTTGCCTAAAATTAAATGTCCCAGTAAAGATTCTAGCTTTTACCTACTGTAAGACAAGACGTTCACATGACCTTAGGTTACATTAAGCCCATTCGAATCGATATGTTGGTAAAAATGCTATCATATTCTCAGGCGAATGAATTTCTTAAGTATGTAGGCAGTCTAAGAAGCGTTTTCTCTGTGACTAAAGTCAAGCCTATTAATATAAGTATATGTAAGTATATGTATTAATATGTGTTGATATAAGTTTGATATCGTGCTGATTAATTAATGGCTGAATTAAGGCAATGCGTAAATTGAGTTGACGTCAGTCTAAATCAAGTTGCTTGCATGCTTTACGACAGGTTGCTGAAAGAACCTGCACATCCTTTCTCTGTTTGATCAGCTTTCACTCTCAAAGCAAACACAGAATCTCACCATTTATTCTGTAAACTTTGTCCAGTGTGGGCCTTTTAGTGTCTGCTGTTTGTGTTCTGTGTTCTTTTGAACATGCAGGTCAGTTCAGAAGTGTGATCTGTTCAGACTGATGTCATTTATAGGCCACATTAAAAAGAAAATGTAAACGATCAAACAACAACATCAGATTTGAACAGTAGATCAGATCTGGGACACTTATACCTACAGTCTGAATGTAGCCTAAGATGTGCCTGTGACTGTTACCTTGAGTTTACCTTCTTGAAGTGCAAGCCTGACCGTTTGAGTTTGCACACTTAATGCTTAGTCAGGCTTGTTGGATTTTCTCGTTTGGATGGCTAGAGTGTGGCAGCTTTTGAACACTTTCTGTCTCTTTCCATGACTTCAGTACATTTTTAATACTTGATTTTGGAGTTTTCATTAAATCGCCAGTCTTTCTCACAGACAATTTATTACCAAGACACAATATTTTTTGACAGATTAATTCAACAAATTCCAGTTGTCTAAAGCAATGTCTTTCAGAATGTTAATGACGTTTTAAGTCAGATGTGCCGAATGGTGTTCCAACATAAGCATTGAAGATCTCTGGTTTGAACATGATGTGTGTACAGTTGGATTAGTGTCCCAACTAATTGGGGGGGGGGAAAATTGGGGTTAGGTAGGGCTGAATGATTTGAGGGAAAAATCAAATAGCGATATTCAGACCAGTATTTTGAAAGCCATTTAAATTGTTATTCTTTGCTACAAATTAAGGTCCAGGTCTGTTTTACTGGCCAAGAAGACCAACATATCCCCAGCATATCCACTTTTTCTGGCTCCAGGCTTGAGTGCTGAACATAGTGTGCCAGTAGTGGTTGTCATGTATGCATCATGTGGGTATTTAGTTGCTTCTGATTAGTTGCTTGTGATTCAAACTCATCTGCAGTTATTCAGAGTTATTAGGTAAAAAAATCCCCTCTGAAAAGTTGTAGGCTATATTTTATATTGCAGCTTTAGTGATTTGTAAATTGCTTGCTTTCAAATTGTGAAATTTGATATAAATCAGTCTAGTTTGTTATTGTGCAGTTGGATCCAAAATATTGATTGATAAGTTGAAATATAGCTCAGATTAAGTACTTTCCAATATGGCATATATATTATATGATACGTAAACAATAGGTAGAGCAAGGAGTTGTAAAATACACTTCCCAAAATAAGGCAGAAGACATCTATTGCCAGATTTACTAAGCTGGGACATCTTTTGGTCTCTTAGAGCTGATAATGAATGCATTTA